CCCCAAAACCCCAAAACCCCAAAACCCCAAAACCCCGTATTAAAAAATTACCATAGAACAAATTATAAATAAAATGAATCCGAAAGGTTCAAAAAGAGAGAAGAGAGTCAAGGGTAGTAAGAACAAAAGTGCCAAAGAAGCCTTCCTGAAGAAGATTGATGCTGCCATGAAGGTCTATGATTACGTTGACGAGACCAAGGACGTCAAGGGGAAGAGTGAGAGGCTCAATGCCATCAACGAGCTCCAAAATCTTCTACAGGACCAAAAATCTGTGAGCCAATTGATCATCCCAAATCTGGATTCTTGTATGCAGATGATTGAAAAGAACATCTTCAGGTGTCTCCCGAATATCAAGAAGAGTAATCTAGCATTCTCTGAGACTGGTATTGATCAAGAAGAAGAGACTGACCCGGCATGGCCCCATGTACAAGGAGTTTATGAATTCTTCCTCCAATTGATCATGAACGACTCTATTGAGGTTAAGCTCCTGAAAGGATATGTCACTCCAGAATTCGTAAGCCGATTCTTAGAGCTTTTTGATAGTGAAGAAGCAGTAGAAAGGGATTACCTCAAAAATATCTTACACAAACTCTATGCCAAACTAGTTCCCAGAAGGAAGATGATTAGGAAGGCTATCAACGAAACATTTTATCAGCTTATACATGAAGGGCACAAGTTCAACGGAGCTTCTGAGCTGTTAGATATCCTAGCTTCTATCATTTCTGGGTTTGCAGTCCCATTGAGAGAGGAGCATGTGATTTTCTTCAATAACATCATCATCCGCCTGCACAAGGTCCAGACTTGTTCTGAGTTCTTTGAGCAGCTGTTGAGATGCTCAATGTTGTTCCTTACCAAGGACAAATCTTTGGCCATCAGTCTGCTGAAAGGATTATTAAAATATTGGCCATTTGCTAACTGTGTCAAGGAAACTCTATTTCTGACAGAACTGCAAGAAGTCCTTGAAATCGTTGATGATGATAAGATTGGGGATCTCGTAATCCCACTTTTCAGAAGAATAGTTAAATGTATTGGTGGCACACATCTACAAGTCGCTGATCGTGCAATGTGCTTTTTCGAGAACGATTACTTTTTGACAAAGTTAAGAATTTATAAAGATGTAACTTTCCCAATGCTTGTTCCTGTTATTGTAGAACTCTCAGAAAATCACTGGCACAAGATATTGCAAGAGAGTTTGGTAGCTCTGAAGGTAATTCTCAAAGAAATCGACTCAGCTGCATTTGATGAAGCTCAACAGATTTCTAAATAAAGACCATAGAAGGTTTATAGTTAAACCAAATGTAGAGAAAAGAACTGAGTTAGACGCAAAATGGGAAAGACTAAATACTACCTTAAAATCAACCTCAGCTGGGTTCACTCCTCCAGATGTCCCATTCAAGACTTCTGAGTTGATTTCAAATTACAATGGACTGTACAGAAAGATCTATGATAAAGAAAAGTTCATTAATGATTAAGCTGAAGCTTTATCTAAATAACTAGCAGATCAATTTGCTGCCTTTTCACCGGGGTTTTGGGGTTTTGGGGTTTTGGGGTTTTGGGGTTTTGGGG